ACACCCCCACCCCCTCCCTGTACCCTTGCTTATTCTGACAGCCATTGGAAGGCAGGATAAGAAATCCCAGCAGAAGGGAGGGGAAGATGCAGACCAGTGATTTTGGAGGCTCTGCATTAGGTGTATTTTATTTCATTTTCCATGGTTTAGATGCTAGTGCATTTTTTACACCCCCCTCCCCCCGGCCGCAAAAGCTACCAAAAATAATAGATTGCTTTTCTAAAAGTAAACAATGACTCTCCTTTCCATTAACCAGCTACACACTATTGTCCATTTTTCAAGTTTTCAGGCAGCTGTAAGTTTCTCTCACCAAATTACAGTTCACCCCAGGTTTTCATGGTTTACTTTTATGGTTTTAAGCACACCACTTAACCAGCTGCACCTTTGCCCTCGTGGGAGTGGTCATCCCTGGGGCTACACTAATGCTGTTAAGACCACAGTTCTTTTGCAGCAGTCCAAAATGCAATTTCAAGTGTTCAGAGAAGGGGGGCTAAAACTGGGGTGAGGGTGTGTGTGGGGGGGAAGAGCATGAATTTTAATCGTCCAACAATACCTCTTCCTTTCACATGTGCTGTATTACATCAGTAATTTCTAATGAAAACCTTCATTCTTTATGCACTGTGGTTAAGCACCATCAAATCAGTACTGAAAAGACTTTGATCGTATTTGCAAGATGCACTGTGATGAACTTTCGCTGACCAAGATTTCAAAGTTTGTAATTAATACTCTTGACAAATCCCTGACTAATCTGTCAACTCTCAAAGTCTTTAACCACAAAATTCAAAACCGTGAGATGAGTAGTCCCTAGACCTTCCACATATTGAGATACTATTATTCAACATAATTTTCCCCTTTGGGTTTGCATTAGAAAACTCAACTCATATATTCAACAATGGGTGAAATTCAGTTACTTGAATGAGTGTTGTGTGAACAGGTATGGGTTTGGTCTGTCTGGTGAGGTAGAGATAGAAACTATAGGAGTCAGATTTCTATTCAGTATTCTTACAAATTTAAAAAGGAGAATGAAATAGACTAAATGTAAAAAGAAGGAATCAAATGGCTGCTGAAGAGGGTTGCCTCACTCGCACATGTTCAGAGTGTCACCCCCCAGTGACACTCTGAAGAGGAATGCCGTATTGGCGGGAAGACCTGCTAAGATTTTTTCCCTGAACTTGAATTCTGGGGCTGTCTAAAACACTCCTCCTCTCGCTTTCTCTGTTTCTCACAGATGGCAACGGGATCCCCAAAACAACTAGGGTCTAGGTGGAAGGACCAGGCATGGGTCCTGTTATAACACGTTGCACGCTGATCCCAGGTGTTCTCCCACCTCGGCCTGGAAGGAGGAAGACCCTTTCCCTTACAGTATGCACTGGGGTCCTCGCCTGCGTTAGGGACTGTGGGGCACTGGAGGCTTCGTGGTGCACGCTGTGGGACTTTTTACAGATATGATCTTAATACAGAATAAACTTAGGTAGCTAATGTAGTATTATTATACTGTTAGAGCATTTTTTTTTTTTATTACCAGGGAGCCCTGTAGGACTAACCAAAGTCCTATGAAAGCTTAGTTTTCTTACCAAACATAAGCTTCCATATTAATATAAAAAATGGTGCATGTTGTATGTAGGCCCCCACCCCATCCTGCCAGTATGTGATAAAGAAAATTACGGCGAATAGTTTTTTTTTTTTTATGTTTTTAGATTTCAGAGAGACAGAGGGAGAGATAGAAACATCACTGATGAGAGAGTCATTGGTTGGCTGCCNTCTGCCAGTATGTGACCCAATTATGCTGGGCAAAGCACCCCAAGCCTACATCTCTTTATAAAGAAAATTACGGCGAATAGTTTGTTTGTTTTTATGTTTTTAGATTTCAGAGAGACGAAGGGAGAGGGAGAGATAGAAACATCACTGATGAGAGAGTCATTGGTTGGCTGCCTCCTGCACGCCCCCTGCTGGGAATCCAACCCTGTGACCTCCTGGTTCCTATAGGAGGACACTCAACCCTTGAGCCAGGCTGGCCAGGCTGGTGAGTAGCTTTTGAAAAAGCATGAATGAAGAGATGCCCTTTCAAAATAAAAGGACATAAACAAGTTGTAAGTTCTTGCAGAACATTTTAAAAAGGACAGACCCAAAGCAGAGGCAGTATTTACGTTAAAAACAATAAGAATCTAAGAGCGGCTGGAACTTCCCAGGGAGTGAGATTTGAGAATATCTACGTAATTTAAAGAAAGCAGAAACACGCAGCCCACACAGGGCAGCATATGGCTATGTTCATATGGGGATTTTCAGGGAGGAGATTTATAACACCGTTTTGGCTTCCCACCCACACCAAGGTGCAGGAGTCATTTCTTTCCCTCCTTTTTTTGACTTTCCCTGCATTTTCCTTGTTCTGGTGGGGAGAGCAGGATGGCCCAGGATTGGCGATGACTGAGCTTTGCAGCCTCTTAGGCAGAACCTATTCTTCCGTGGTGCTTAGGGTGTGAGGTGCCAGTGCACTTGCAGCAACACCCCGGCTATTCCTAGGACTGCGTACAAGGTTTTCCTTCCTCTTTCCATGTCCCTCACCTCTGTTCGTGTAAAGTCCCTTATCCCCACCTTGAAATATCCCTCAATCAACCCCTTTCTTACCCAGGTACTGAGATACGGTCTTTCTCCATCCCTTGCTTCCGCTGCCTGTGACTTGCCTTGACCAATAAAGTGTGGAGAAAGTGACACAGTGTGAATTCCAGAAGATGTGCCTTCAGCAGCCTTGCCACAGCCACCTTGCTCTCCTAGGACCCTGAGACCAGCCTGCAGGAGGATGCAAGGGGCCTCAGCCAACAGCCAGGCCTGCTGCCAGATATGTGAGTGCAGTCATCCTTTTGGACCCCCTGGTTCTGTTTAACTAAAATGACCACAGTCACAGTGTAACTGCAGAACCTGATCCTGCCCTGTTTCTAACAAGACCTGGAAATAAAGTTTCAACCTTGGATACAGCACATCACAAGCAACACTTGTGAATATCAGCCACAGGTAACACTTGTGAGCCCTTAACTGCTACCTCTTAAAACCCCACCCTGAATACCTGGAGCAGGAGAGGCATCCGAGTCTTGCCTCCTGTCTCCTTGCCAGTTGACTCCCAAATAAAGCTCCTTTTTTCTCTCGATAGCCGGTGTTATGCTTGTATGTGCATCGGGGAGTGGGCCCTTGTTCGGTAACAACAGAGTGACCCAACCTAAGACTAGCCAAAGAACTGCCCAGGTTGCCTACCCACGAAACTGCAAGAACGAAACAACTGTCACTTTATGCCACTGAGCTTCAAGGTGGTATGTACACAGTAATCAGTAACAGAAACAGATAGCCTCCTTAAAACTCAAATTGGCGTTCAGCGGGGCCATAGTCAGCTGCACTTCTGCCACTTAATTATGTGAGGACAATTCCATAATTACACAGCTAATGCAGTTGATAGTGGAGTGTAGCTGACTGATAGGCTTAACTGGGAGAGAGCAAGCATTTCAGTCCTAAAGGAGTAGTTTATGAAGCCAAATCGGTGTCCAGATGGTGGGGTACCTGGCAAAGAATTTGAGTAGTGGGCTGGAAGCCCCCTGCAGGCCCCCACATGCCCCACTTCCCCAGTCCAACTGAGATGGCAAATCCCCAGGACTTGCCTTCCAACCATCTCTGTAAGGGGCTGTAACCTCCAACAAAAACACTGACTAAAAACAAAGTGTCAAGGATGGGAAAGGAGGCAGAAAATATTTGCAACCAGGGATCAAGTCTCACAAATGCCTAGGTCCTTCTGCACCATTAGTAGAGAGAAATGGGTGGGGCCTGGTCAGGCCCAACCAGAGTCAGCTGGTGCGATGGAATGGACTGGCACCTCTGTCACCTTACTTCACTGGAGCTGCAGCGTTTCCCTACTCCCAGAGGGTTCTTAAGCAAGGGTGGCCAGAAGGGATTCCTCTCCAAGACCTGGGGTCTGTATGCTGCAGAGTGTGGGTAAGAAGTCTGACCTCAGAAATGGTTAGGAGGGTGGAGTGAGGTAATTATGTGAAGGCTACACTGTCAGCTGCCAAAAGCAGCCAAACAAAGGGTTGTCAACTCATTTTCCCTGAAATACCATCATCAAGGCCTTAAAAGGTTTCCAAGGAAGTCATAAACAGTGAGTTCCAACGTGAATCTGTCCATCAACACAGAAACTTGGGGGCTGAGAGTGACAGGACGTGGAACCGAGCACGTACATGGACGTCCGACTTGCCGCTTCTGTCCAGCTGGATACTCTTACTGCTCTGTGGCGCAAAGGTTTTTCTCATTTAAACAGCTTTGGAGAGTGTCCTCCTTAGAGAAGGCACTCACACCAACACGTATGCCCTCATCAGCTGAGTGGGAGGACTCTACTCGTGATGGCAGCTGGGAATAAGTAAGAGCTTTTCTCATGGGATGATCTGACCTCTTCTATACGTCCGAGGCCCTTCATGATGATTCCGTTGTGTGAATACCACCTCCAGATGGTTGGTGACGGCATCAAAGAGGAAGACTGCCACCTACGTCCCTCAGGTTAACGTATCTCATCGGAGAAAGGTTGGTTTACCTTCGTTGTGCGTCTCTGTGGAAAAGGCATCCCTGGTTTCTCTGCGTCTGTTGTTGCTGTACCAGAATCTGGTGTGAGACCCCTCTCCACGCTCTTGTGCAGCCCCCCCCCCACCAGATCTCCATCAGGTTCTTTAGATTCTTGCCTCGCCAGGTTACTTTCCCCCAGGATGGTTCTGATCGGCTCATTCTCTCCCCCAAAGCCCAGAATCTCTTCCATTTGCCTCTCGGGTTTAAAGCAAAACCGTTGACTTGAACTTGGCCCTCCCACGGCACTTGACTGAGTGTCCATCACTGGTTCCCCGGCCGCCACTCAGGCACACGCTGCACTTTCCACTTGGGCCAATGGAAACGCATCTCGCCTTCGGGTGACTCTTCGTGTCTCTCACTTGCCATCCTCTCTCACTTGACACCCTGTGAGGGAGGGAGGCCTCTTTCAAGCTTTCGGCGCTTGGTTACAGATTTCCTGCCTTCCTAAGCCATCCAAAAGTAGTCAGCGTTCCCTGAAACAATGTGGACGGGTTGGTGAACTTTGCCGAACCCAGTTCCTTCATCTGTAGAAAGGGGATATTCTCTCTCTCTTCGGATTTTGTAAGAATTAAATAATAAATATGTAATAATACATTTATGTTATATGATAATTATAATAAAGCACTTAGGACTACTGACCTTGTCCCAGAGTAGATACTAGCTAGATATTAATTCCATTTGCCTTCTTATCACCTTTGTTTTTCCTAAACACGTTGTTCTTATCTGTCTATCTACATTGCTGTTCTATATTTATATAAATGTATATATATTTACATGTATATATATATATAATATTTTTTGTTCGAAGATTTCCATTTGGCTTTTTTATAGTTTCAATTTCTTTGCTGAGACTTCCTATTTTTTGTTTCAAGTGTGTTTATATTTGCTCACTGAAGCATTTTTATGATGGCTGCTTTAAAATCACCCAATAATTCTCACATTACTGTCATCTCAGCATTGGCATCTATTGTTCTTTTTTAAAAAAATTTTTTTTAAATATATATTTTTTATTGATTTCAGAGAGGAAAAGAGGGAGAGATAGAAACATCAATGATGAGAGAGGATCATTGATTGGCTGCCTCCTGCACACCCCCTACTGGGGACCAAGCCCAAAACCAGGGCATGTGCCCTGATCTGGAATCGAACCCTGATCTCTGGGTTCATGGGTTGATGCTCAACTACTGAGCCATGCCAGCTGGGCATCTGTTGTCCTTTTTAATTCCATCTGAGACCTTCCTCCTTCTTGGTGTGATGACTGTTCAATTGAAACCTGGACAGGGGGATATTATGTTACGATATTTAAATTTCTGTTTTACCTGACCTCCAGTGCTCTGGGGGTGTCAAGCAATAAGAGAATGTATCTTCCTGGGTGTTTATTAAAATCCCTCCCAAACTCTCTCGGGTCAGTAAGGAGATGTCAGGCCACAGGGATGAACATGCTCTCTCGGGAGGCGGCGTGTCACCTCTCAGGCTCCTGCACTGCCTGCCGAGGGCCAGCAATGGCAGAGCGGCTGCCCCTGTGCCTGAGACCCCTCTGGCTTTGGCTGCCTGGAGGAGCACAGCTGGGGCCAGGGGACGTCCCACCCATCGCCTTCACCCACGGTCTAGATGGCCTCCCATGTCAAAGCTGTCTTCGGGGCAAGGGCAACCTGCCTGACAAAAGGGTGCCAAGCCCACTGGGACAATGTTGGTTTTAAAGAGCAAGACTTTGGAGCCCATCTTTCAGGAGGTCAGAACTGGTTGAAATGAAAGAATAGTATGTGTTCTTACATTTCTGACGTGCCTTCCTACCACACAGGTGCTCCTCAGATCCAGTACTTTCCCATTAGGCCTGCTTTTCAGGAGTCTCTCTGCAGCCAACCTTTACTTTCTAAGGGATAGTTAGATGCGGATGGGCTAGTCGTGTAATTTTCTGCCCATTCTTTTCCAAATGACTTGATTTTGAATTAACAAGATATTGGGCTGGAAACTTTAAAAGGGAGACCTTAATACAACCAACAAATCGTTTTGTGTGTGTGTGTGTGTGTGTGTGTGTGCGCATGTGTGCACTTTTTTAAAATCTTCACCCGAGGATATTTTTTCCATTGCTTTTCAGACAGTGGAAGGGAGCAAGAAAGAAACATCAATGGGGGCCGGGGATCGTGCCTGCAACCAAGGTATGTGCCCTTGGCCACAACTGAACCAGGGACCCTTCAGTCCAAGGGCTGACGCTCTAACCACTGAGCCAGACCAGGTAGGGCCCAACAAATCATTTTTAATCTACAAGACATGATGGAGGGATAAGATTAAAGCAATTGGTGAAATGAGGTTTCCATGTACCTTGTGACTGTCATGCATGGCCGTCCGTGCTGCTGTGACATGTGACAGATCCTGCCAGGTGCCTCTGGCCACCTTTGCCTGCCTTTATTTCCCCCATGTTACTCCATGCTGTGCTGGCCAGCCCTAGTCCCCAATGGACATTTCCTAGATTGGTCCCCAGCCTTTGCCGAGGCTCCATTGCTCCCTCACAGTGTCTGTCTGTGCTCTCCACACCCCAGACCAGGTGGCTGGGCATGGAAAGGTGACCAGATACAAAGGGCACCGCTGGGCAGCCTGGACTGGCCACCTACCTACACCTCCAGCATCTTTACCGCAGTGTAATGCAGCCACACAAGGCCCTTTGCAGATGTCACCCAGGCTTTCTGTGCTCTGCTCCCTGCTGCCAGGCACTGCCATTCGCTGCACACCTACTGTGTGCCAGGTGACAGAGGAGGTCTTGTTAACTGCCTCATTCAGTCCTCACCACAGCTCTGTCAGGTGTCACCTCACTTTACAGATGGGGTGAAAGAATTTCCAAGGCTGAAAGGATTTAGGACTTTGTTCCAAGTCACCTCATAACTGGCACAACTAGGGCTGTAATCCAGAGTTTTCTGCTCCCACAGCCCTGTGGACCTACCCTGCCTTCATCTTCCCCTTCGTGCCTCACTCAGTTTCCATCCCTGGGGGGTATGGGGTGTCGCACTAGGAAACGCCTGGGGTTCTCCTTAAGTCAGAACAGAAGTTCCGTGCATGCACCCGCTGTGGACAGCGTGGGTCTGCCAGCCACACATGTTCTCCAAGGGGCCGAGGGCAGTGAAGGTGCCGAGGACACTGGCTTCAGAGCCAGCTGCCGTGATGCGGTAAAGCCAGCCTGATGGCCTGGGCACTCCTCCTGAGGACAAGGCTTCACCTCTCCAGAAACTACACCTGCTAGGGGGCGTCAGGCTAGAGGGCGTTCCAGAGACAGCAGGCTCTCCCCCAGGGGAGGGATGGCCACTGCTGTGCAGATTCCCCTCTGGAGGTAGAGGAACCCTCCTGCACTGTTCAGCAGGCGCCCTGCTCCGCCAGGCCACGCGGAGTCACCAAACACAATTCACATCCCTTCCAAAGAGCAGCATGCTGACTGTCAAACTGTCATCAGTGACAACAGCCACAATCAAGTAATTTACCTGCAGCTTTTACCACTTCTTTTGAAGACTGACTTCCAAACTCACGGAGCACTCGGAGGCCTTGTCTTACCTCTCTCCC